CACACACACACACACACACACACACTCACGTGCTTTCCCTCTACAGCCAGCAGTGGCTTCTCGGTTCCATCAGTGGCTCGACTTTCCCAGAAGAAAGCCCATCAGCTCTGCGGGGAAAGAGGTGGGGAGGAGTAGAGAGAGGAAAGAGAGAAGGGATGGGGGCAGGAGAGGGAGGAAAGAAGGAAGGAATCTGGAGCAGGCAGAAAGAACAGGCTAAAGGAGACAAAAAAGCCCTGAGAACCAAGGTGACTGTGAGATGCCAAAGAAAGGGAGGAAAGGAGGGGGCATCAGACCCCACAGCAGTGCCTCACCCCCCCCCTACACACACACAACTATCTAGGACCTCCTCCTGGCCCTGTGGGCTCCCTTCATTCCTCTTCCTCCTCCTCCCTCTCTCCCTTTTATCTTTCCAGCCAGGTTACCGAGAGCAGTGGAATGGGGAGGGGGTCACGTTACCTTCCTGAGGACGATGAATCAGAGAGATGGCTCAGACATCTGGATAGGGGGAGGGGAAGCCATCCAAGAGAGAAGGGAGCAGGGAGGGAGGGCAGACTGAGAGGCTGATGGGGCTAAGAGACCAAGTGTGAGATGAGGGGAGACAGACACCTAGAGACACTGTCTGTGTTCCTGTGGGCTTGTGTATGTGCACAGGCACCGGTGTGTGCATGTACATGCATGTGCCTGTGTGTTTGTGTGTGTACAGATACTAATGAAACATATGGGGGAAAGAAAAAGAAAGGGAATTGAGGGGACTGTGTATTTAATCCGATGGGTGGGCATGGGAGTGTTCCAATTTAAATACGTAATCTTCTCTTCCAATCTGTGTGGCTGTGTTTTTGCCTGTTTCCGAGTGTCTGTATGTGAGTGAGTGTGGGGTCTGATCCCTTCTGAGTGCCTGTATGCCTGTGCGGTCAGGGGTTTCAGAGTGCATCCCGTCTAGGCATCTGCTGCTATCTGAAAACTGTGCCTGTCTTGGTGTGTCAATAATGTGTGTGTGTGTGTACACATGTGTCTCTGGGTCCCTCCATGCCTGTTGGTATATGCTAGAGATTAAGTGGACTTCTATGTACCTTTGGTCTTTCCTGCCCCTCCCCCACATTCACCTTTTTCTCTAGATTACTGTGCCCTAGAGCCTCAGTATCCAAGTCACTCATCTGCAGCCCCCAAATTTGGGTCTTTGCCCTTGTTTTCAGAGAGTGCCCCCATTTCTCCATTCTTTCACAACTCCCCACCCCTCTCTTCCTCCACTCTAGCCCAGAAGCCCAAGGGAGCTACTCAGAAATCAACACCCCAAGATCAATCATCATGGGATGGGGGAGGGGGCAGCAAGGTGGAAGCCTGGAGCACCAACAGCAATAGGCGTGGTGTTTCCACAATCTGGATCTTGATCTCTCTTGTCTGCATGGTCTCTGAATCTCTGGGTCTGTTTGTACCTGTCTCCATCCCAGTTTCCCACCTGGGTCAGCTCATTCACACACACACACTGCACCTCTCAGAGATGTGCTGTGCCCTTCATACCCTGCTGCCTCTAGGGGCTTCTGGAAAAGAGCTGGACTGGGGGCATGTTCCCGGGATCAGGGAGAGAAGGGAGATGGCAGGAAAGAAAGAGAAATGGAGAGACAGAACTGGAAAAGGCAAAGCTGAGATGGGGCCCTGGAGGGGACGTCCTGGTGTTTGCTCTGAGTTGTTTGTATGAATCCATCTCTCTTCGTCTTTGTTTCTGAATCTCCCACACTCTCCAGGAGGGTAGCAGGAGGAGATGGGGTCCAGCAGAGTAGTGATCTAAGCTAAGGATTTGGCAAACCAGGGGAGGTGGGCAGAACACTGGGTCTTTTCCCTGAGGAGGTTTGGGAGAAAAAAAGAGGGCAAGGGCTTGGATCCCCCGCAGCTCACCGTCCCCCCGTTCCTCCCCTCCCCCCAACTGGTGACTCACCTCTGCAGCCTTTCATTGCGTCAGCAATGGGGGGACCGACAGAGAGGGGGGCACTTTATGAGAGGAGCAGGGGTCTCCACTTTGAACTGAAAGAAGGTGCTGAAGGCCCCCCTGAAAATGGCCCCATTAGAATGCATTATTGCCCTATCCCTTTCCCACCCCAGGTCAGTAGGGTAGGGAGTCCTGGGAAGGGGACTGGGAGAGGGCTGGGGGCCACTGGTGGACCTGGGAATGATGAGTAATAGGAAGGGGGTGCTCACCCTGATTTTCAGTCCCGGGGGCCCATTCCCTCATACCCCCACCCATTCCTGAGTGGGGGAAGGGAGACCCAGCAATCCGGGGGAGGGCAAAGCCGCAGAGATGAGTCACCAAGAAAGGGAGAGAAAGAGACAGAGATGAGGAGAGACACAAAGAGAGACAGCTACTGGAGAGACCCAGAAAGGAAAACACACACACACCATGAAGGTGGTATCCACAAACTAACAAGAGAAAGGAAATTGTGTACTTCCACAACCCTGAACCAGCCTCCTCCAACATCCTCCTGTCACACACACACACCACACTATCTTTCAGAGTTACACTGATATCCTGAAACACACCCACTTACACAAACACAATGTCACACCTTGCCTATCAGGGTCACCCAGACCCATGCGGAAGATGTGACCAGGGTAATGGAGATTCATGTTGAGAGCCCTTATTCCTTTTACACAGGATGGTGGGAGGGAGTAAAAGCCCTAAAGGAATGTGACTTCAACAATCCAAGACGCGGTTCAGGGACTCACAGGCTACGCCTTGCACACTCGACGATGTGTACAGTCGCCTGCCTCCCCATCCATGCGAATAGTAACATATCGAACATCGTCCTCATCAAAGACTCTTGGAGTACCCGATTCTGGGGTACACCAGGCACGTTGTCCCAAATACATCCCACCCAGACACCCCTGACTCGTACACACATGTACAGAAACGCAGACACACAAAGACGCCCATGGACACACTCACACGGCAACCACCTTGCGCTGCCTCGCCCGCGTCCGCGCACGTCCTGGCGCCCCCGCGTGTTACTTTTCGGGATCGCAGTCTCCGCCGCTCCGGAGCTCGGCTCCCGGGGGGCGGTGCCCAGGCTGCTTCCACCTCCTCCCCTCTCTGCGCGGTGACCCCCAGGAATGGGGAAAGCGAGACCGCTGGCCACGACAGTCGAGAGCTGGGAATTAGACACCTGGATGGTGGGGCTGAGGGAGGCTGGTCCTGGATGCCAAGGGGAACGTGGGAGAAGAGCCCAAAGAATTTGGATAGCAGCCGGCTCCCAGGTCCTGGGGACAGCGAGGCCCAGGGCTTGTCAAGGCGCCGCGCTGCTGCCTGCCTCGGTTCCGAGCAACCGCTTCTTTCCGCTGCTTGGCTGGGGTGGGGGCGGGGGCGCGCAACGGCCAGCCGCCCTCCCCTGCTCCCCTCCAGGAAGTCATTAGCCCCATTGCCACGGGGCTTAGAGATCCTCTCTAATACAGGCTGCTGGGGAAGGGGGGAGGATAATGCGTCTCATCCCTCCCCCCGAGAAGAAGTGAAACAGACACAGAGAGTGGGCTAAAGGTCGGTTTTATTGCAATACAGCCATAGTTGAAGTGACAGGGAGGGTGGCAGCATGGCCGGGGGCAGGAGGCAGCAAGGCAGAGCAGCACAGCAGCGAAACCGGAACTAGGGAAAGTGCGGAAGCAGCGGTGGGCCTCTGCCTACCTTCTTCCACCTCCTGGCGCCTTCCTCTGCCCATGTCTTGGATTCCACCCCCAGCAAACCCTGTGCTCGCTGTCAACGAATCCCTAGCCACTGTCTATTGTCCACCAAAAAGTTCAAGCTACCGCTGTCCCACACAGAATGAAGTTTTGAGGCATGATCTGGGCTTGGGGCACCTGGGTTCTAGTCCCTGCCAGGCTCCCAGCTACTCAAGTGACTTGGAAATCACTTTGATCTTTCTGGGCCTCTGTTTCCCCCCTCTGCGGTAGATGTGAGGATCCAGTGTAGGAGACAGCGCTGTGCAAATGCAACTGTTACTACTTGCGTTTAAATAGAAGAGTGACAGAGTCCAAAAAGCATAAAGGAATCAGAAATATCTGGAGGTGGGGGTTCCGGTCACACTAGAAGGCAACCTGGTTAGAATCAGGAGAGACCCCCACACCCATGAGGGACCTGCCCTCCACTACACCAAACTCTCCAGCCAGAACCCCCTGGTTCACAGGCCTGGTTCAGGCCCCTAGTTGGAGGCATGTGGAGGGGGCCTGCGAAATTAGCACCGTGCAAAGTTGGAGGAAATCCCAATCAGAGGGGGCATGCTCAGAAAAGTGCATCACCAGAGCATAAACAGCCGGCCAAATGGGGGGGGAGTATCATAAATCTATTTCATTTACAGATCTCTCTCATATTGCACACAGGGTGGGTGATGGGGAGAGGTCATAGGGAAGGGGAATGGAGGAGCAGACGAACGGGAAACGAGGAGCTAAGAGTCCGGGAGGTGCTGGGAGGAGGAGAATGGGAGGACAGAGAGGAGGGAGGACACTGACCTAGAGGCACAGGAGGCTGAGAGGGCAGAGAGGAGGGGAGTGCGGGGCAAACTCTGAGAGCCTGAGAAAGGGCAGGAGGAAGAAAACTAATACGTATTGGGCAGCTGTGCTCCCAGCCGGGTGCTGGGCGTGGCACACACTTCTGCCCGCTTCCACCCAAGAGGAGGCGGAAGGGGGAAGCCAGAAAGGCAGAATTCACTGCCAGGCCAGGGCGCCGGACAGGGAAAGGCTCTGAAGCTTGTGAAGGAACCCATTCTTTGGAAACGGGAAACGGTGGCCAATAGCAGCACAAGAGGCTCTCCCAAACCCGGCGGTGCAGATCCCGGTGTGGGCAAGGGCGTTTGGGGGCGCTAGGGGCAAGATGGCGGACAGAGAGGTCTGGGAAAGGGAAGGGAGGGACCGCTACCGGGTAAGTACGCGTCAGAGCCGACTACCGAGGGTGGGGGGAGGGGGCGGAGCTTGCAAATAGTAGGGGGCGGGGCTTGCAGGGGATCCACGGAAGGGGGCGGGCCTAAAGTGCTTCTCTCCCCTTTGACCAGAGGCCTCAGATGTCGGCCTCCAGCAGGTACTGTTCAGTATAACCCTTGACCAGCTCTAGCTCCAAGCTGGCCGGGCAGAAGTTAGTCAGCTGTGACCATAACTGGGGTGCCAGGAAGAGCTGGCACGTGACGTTGAAGCCGGCAAGGCGCGGGGCCTGGCGCAGCAGGTGACACAAGCTGGCTCTAACCTGTGCGCCGTCGCTGCCGAAGGCGTGGATGTTGAGGTGGTGCCACGTGCCGTCGCTGCCACGCGGGATGGGGAAGGGGCGCGTGCACAGCGTGAGCACGAGCGGGCGCGCGCGGCTGTCCACGCACCACTCCAGGCCCTTGGCCGCCAGCAGGCGCAGGTTGCTCTCGCTCCGCCGGTAGGGCTGCCAGTCCTGGATGATGGTCCTGCCCGGAAGCACGTCGCGCTGCACGGAGAGCGACAGCAGGAGGCGTGCCACGTCGCAGCCTGCCTCCGACACGGCCTCAGTGGGCAGCGGTGGGAAGGTGCCGGAGGCCTGCGGCGCCGCCAGCCACGCGCCCAGCCCCGCCGGCAGCGTTGAATCGGACCAAAAGGGTGCCCTGCGGGGAGCACGAGTGAGCGCTGGGCAGCCGGCGGAAGGGCTAATGAGGCGTCTTCCTTCACTTTCACATTCACACCCACGGGCTCCCACCTGGGCCACTCGGAAGGACCGACCGTACGGGGCCGGGTGGAGTGGGGTACGTGAAAGCCTGGGTCCCCGAGGGTAGCATGAAGGAATCAGGGGCAAGGCCTCCGAATACCTGGTTCCCCAAGGAGAGGCGGGATCAGTGTGAAGTACCCAGGGAACTAGAGGTGTGGGCCCCTCAGTCACCAAGGGGAGTGGAAGCGAGGGAAGCACACCAGTCGGTAGGATGGGGGAGGCGGACGGGAAGGACAAGGCTCAGATTAGGATGTTTGCGTCCCTGAAGGGAGGTAGGATCCATGTAGGGGAGGCAGGGTCACGGAAGTCCGGATGCCTGGGCTCTTCAGCGTCCTGGAGTAAGGACTGAGGGTTTGACGGCTGGGAGTCGGAAGCTGTTTGACTTCCCCTGGGCAAAAGGGCTGGGGTAAAGACCGGGAGTCCCAGGGCAGGGCTCAAGGGCGCCCCTAATTGGTACGTCGGCAGAGAGAGAAAGCCGGTGACTGGCTAGGCGCGAGGGAGGGCACCAGGAGACCCCGGGGGAGAGGCCCAGCCATCGGAGCTCCCTGTCCTTCTCACCTGCTTGGTGATTAGCCGGTATTTCTTCAGCTCCCGGGGGCCCAGCTGGTCGTCCAGGGTAAGCCGTGCCACCTTGACCCCCGGGTGCTGTCGTTTGACCAACTGCTAGCAGAAGCGCTGCAGCAGCCCGGCCACGCCCTTGCCGCGCTCACAGGGCGCCACGCGCAGCCCCTCCGCCGGCGCCGACTTCCTGGCGGCGATCACGTGCACCGACTCCAGCGCGATCTGCGGACCTAGGCCGTTAGGGGGCCCCCTCCCCGCCTCCACCCCTGCCAGGGCTCCCGGATCTCAGGGCTCGCCTCCATCCGCACGCTGAGCACTCCGTCATCACCACCCCGGGCGCCAGGCCTCCCTGGGGAGCTGTCCTCAGCACTTGGGTCTCGGATTCCAGAGCTGGCAGAAGGGCATTCGCCGGAGTCTCTCCCACCTCTCGAGATGCTCCAGCTCTGCGAGCACCAGATCCCTGGCCGCTCGCCACGCCCCCTTCCTTGGCTCCACCCCCAGGAGCTCTCTACACCCGCCGTTACCTCCCACGCCCCGCTTCCTCTTAGCTCCTCCCGGGAGCCCATTCCTGAGCTGGTGCTGCTCACCCCACCCAGGCCCTCTTTGTGCGAGAGTTCGGTCTACTCAGGGGTCCGGGGCCCATTCTAGCTGCTCCCACCCCCAGCCTACCCTCTCTTGCCTGCTCCTCTTTTTGTGCTCCTGGCCCCTGAAACCCCTCAAAGGAACCCTCAAATGTCGAAGCTGTCATCAGTCCCTCCGGTTCCTCCGTTCTGCACGTCCCCCGCCCTACCCTCACTGGCTGGGCCTCTGGATCCGCACGCCCTACTCTCCGGTTCCAAAGTCGACTCTATTTCCTCAGCAACCTGACAGGGCTGGGGAGAGGCTTGCTTCCTCTCCTTCCTAAGATCCACCCACCCAAACGTGGCTTCACCCCTTTTCACCTGGGCCCCGCCCCCGCCCCTCGCTCTCACCACTCCGTTTTGCTTGGTCAGCACCACGGTGCGGTCGGGATCCCAGAGCCAGCCGTGGTAGCGGCTAGGAAGGTAGTTGAGGCCACCGTAGATGTCCCCCGAGATGGCCAGCACCTCCTCAAACTCCTGTTCTGTGGCAACCACGAAGTCCAACGGCTCGGCCTGGGCCTCAGGCCCTGATCCAGACCTGGCCTTGGCCCCCAGGGACTTGGCCTTGGTGTCAGCCCCCAGGGGCTCGGCCTCAGCCTCAAGCCCCAATCTGGACCTGGACTTGGCCCCAGCCTCCTGTGGCTGGGTCTCTGAGGGTGGCTCCACATCTGGCTAGGCTTCTTTTTCAGGCTGAGGGACCTCTGAGGTGGTTACCCCACAGCCAGCTTCCAGCTTCATTACCCTGCAGAACAGAGAACTCAGCATCAGGGGCAGAGCCCCCTGTTTCCACGTCTGGCCCCCTACACCAACAGCCCCCACAACCCCTTCCTGCACAAACACCCCTTCTCTTCTGCTCTCCACACTGACTCTGGGAATAGGGAGCCTCCAGCTCCCCACTCCCACCAGCTCCCAGAGCTCCCACCTCTACCCTGCGCAACCCGACCAGGATGCTCTTCAACACCACAAACTCAAGACCTCTTGAGCTCCCCAGAGCCTAGCCCCTAATCTCCCCCATCCCTGGTCACCCCCAGGGACTCAGTCAAAGAAGAGAAGGCCCTGGAGGGGATAATGGAGGGACACCCCCTCAAGGGCCCCACCACATCTCTGCAAGAACAACACGAGAAAGAAATTTCCATCATCCCACTCCCCCTACAGGAGGGTTGGGGGGGAAGCAGAGGGTTCAACTGCCCCTTTCCTGCCCCTTATCACCCCAGAGCAGCCGGTGGGGGATGTAGACCCCAGATTTCCTCCATATTGCTGCCCCAGTGCCCTCCACCACCACCCCACCCCCGACACACATATTCAAACATAAGCCAAAGGAGTGGTCAGATGGACAGCTCCATTAGAAAATTTCAAGCCGTCTCTCTCAGGCTGATCAAAACCCCCCTTTCCTTCCTCCTTAGTCTGCTCCCTCCTCCACTCCAGGGCTAGATGATCCTTCTGCAAAGGGCTCTGCTGGAACTCCAGCAAACAAAACGTCCACCGAGATCACCCATGCCACCTCCCCGTATACCTCCCCTCCAAAGGTGGAGTCCCTGCCCTTCTTCCTCTGTTCGTCTTCTGCTTTTGAAATTTCTTCCCATAATCCTTGCCCCATCTCCCACTCAGGCTTTCCCTGTCCCTCCCATTCCGTGCAGTCTCCTTTTTGGGTCAATCCCCTGTGGATTTGGCACCCCTTTGGCCTCCAGCTCTTCTCTTTTCCTTGCCCAGAGGCCAAAGAGAAAGCCCCCTCCCCAAGTCCAGATGATTCCCATTTCCAGACCTCTCTCCTCCAGATCAACCAAATGAACCAATGAAATCCTCCTACTCTTTCAGCCAATTATAATTCTCCCCTCACATAACCTACATTAATACATTAAGCCTCATTAACCAACATCCCAGGGGACACACATACCAGCTACTTTGTAGGGGGTGATATTAGCTTGGCTGGAATTTTTGTTTTTTTCTAATACAAAACACTAGCTACATTTGAGAGATGGGACCAGCAGGGGCACTGGGATGGTTTGGAGGTGATTTGAGCTTTCATGCCATAAACATAACTCACAAAAACACAGGATGCTTGCTATACAAACAAGCTTCAAAACAAGAGCTCCATCTCCCTCTTTCTTTTCAGTCTGATGCTGATGCCTAAGGCTCTCCTGGTTAAGCTGGGGTGAGGTAAGACAGCTCAGGCCAGTATCATCAGAGGGCAGGGGAAGTGCAGGCTCAGAGGATCTTAGAGTCCCTGCTAGGGCCAGTAGAGACCACAGGTTCAACCCCTTCCTTTCACAGTGAGGAAACTGAGGCCTAAGATCTTGCCTAAAATGACTCAGCTTGAGCAGAGCCAAGCTAAAAGTTAAGTTTTCCTGGCTCCCTGGCCAGTGGGGAGATCTCTTTTTGGTGTTTCTGGATCTCCAAACCCAGGCTGAAGAGCAAGGATAGGAATTACTGGGTCTGGCAGGAGTCACAGGTCCCAAGTGCTAAGGGCTCAGCTGACTCAGAACCAGAAAGGGGATTGCGGGAGGAACCCCCACTGCCTCCCCCACTGTCAGCAGTTCCTATGCCAACAGCAAGCTCAAGCATCGGGCTTGTTGCACCAGGCTCTGGGGATGGCGGGTCCCAGGGAGGAGCAGGTTAGCTTGCAGCTCCCATCTACATTCCCGCAACCTCACTAGCTGTCCATGGGTCCCTGGAAAAGACCAGCTGGTAGTTCAGTGGTAAGTCCAGCAGTTCTGCACTGCCCCCAAAAGGAGGCAGAATGTGAGCAACTTGTAGACTGGAACACATCCAACTAGTTCAAGATATTAGGCTCTGGTTTCCCTCCTTTGCTTTCAGGATGGGGAGACTATTTCCAAAGAGATTCTTTATGTTTGTAAGGGGGGGAGGGGGCAGTTCCCAGGGTCACAAGGAAGAAGAGAGAGCTTGCCCATTCATCCTCCATCTTTTCTTCCCAGGCACTCCTCTACTCCTATTCCTTTTTGGGGGGACACAAAGGTTCCAAAGTCCTTAAACCCTGGATGAGGTGGGTGCTGGGAACAAAGCAAGTCGGGGGTTCCAGGCCAAGCCAAAGCAGCCTGCTGGCCCCACAACCCTTGCTCCACACTCTGATCCTTTCCCACCCTCCAGCACAGCACTCTCCAACCTGTCCTCTTGAACTATACCTCCTATAAGGTCTCCAGGCAGAGGCAGTCCTGTGCCTCCAGGGCACTGTGGGAGATGTAGTTCAGGCATCTCCTGGACCAAGCGCCAGGAAGAGGGGCAGCACTTCCCCTGCCATCGATATCCCCACATCCTTGTATCCATTCTCTCAATCACATAAATATGAATGATTACTCTGGGGAGGAAATGATTGTAGTCATCACTGGGCATGCTGGGAGCCCCCTTCCCCACTCCACCGCACCCCACACACCTGAAATATTGATGCCCTTGAGGTCGCAGCTTCTCAGAGCTGGAAGAGGGAGGAGAGGGAGCAGAGAGGAGAGAGGCGGAGACAAAGAGGCGGCGGCTACACAAAGCTTCCCAAGAAGAGAGCGCAAAGGACAGGAACGGAGGGAGAAAGGAGACAAAGGCTACGGGGAGATGCCAGGCGGGAAAGGATGGGAGAGGGAAGCGGGAGGAGGCACGGACACAGAGTCACAGACATGGCACCTCGTGACTCAGGGCCCAGCAGATGCCCAAAAAGTCCTAGCAGGCAACCCCCTCGGCCCCCAGGGAGACCATAAATAGAAAGTAGCGTGACACACCCCCTTCTCCCCGGGGCGTGTGGTGGGGGAAGGGGTCAATGGGACGAGAAAGCCAGAAAAGAGGCTAGAAGAGAAGGGAGACCTCGAGAACAGAGGCAGGGGAGACAAGATGAAGTGGGGCAGCGGATGAGGAAGATGAACCAAGAAGCGAGGGAGAGGGGGTGCCCCAGAGGGCCACAACCGTGGAGGAGGGGGCTGTCCTGGAGGGTCTTCCCGGGTCTTCTGGGAAAGCAGGCGGGAGGGAGATTCTGAAGGAAGCTGTCTACTTGGCAGGGGACCCCCCCTGGGCACCAGACCCTGGGGAGAGGTGGGAGCGAAATGGCGACGGGGTTGGGGAGGGATGACGGGAAAGCTCATCTGAACACCTGAGGCGAAGTCTGAGTCTCCATTATCCAGGTCACCCTACTGCGAGGGGCTGGGCCATTGGGGGCGCAGCAGCTTCCTTCCCCGGGGGGGGCGGGGAAGGGCGGGAGAGGGGGGAGGCGGTGGCCTTCTGCTGCCCCCATTCCGCGGCAGAGGAGCACGCCAGCCTCCAGCCCCCAGGCCGGCGGCCCCCCTACCTCGCCGGAGCCGGGGCCGGGACGCTGAGAAGCGGAGCGGGCGCCGCGCAGACAGCAAAATGTGCCGAGACAGGGGTCACTTCGGAGCCTCGAGGGTCAAATTCAGATGAGGCGCGGCACCCGGCCGCGCCGTCCGGGCCCGACTCGGAGTTCGGAAGCGAACGTGGGTCTGCGCCGCAGCTCAGGCCGGCGCGCGGGCTCCGGCGCCCAGCGGCTGG